GACGTCCCGACAAAAGGGAACGTCCACGGCCGCAACGGCCGGCACAAAGAAACGTCTCTTTCTCCCGGCAAGGAAGCGACCGCGACAAGCGGACGAATTAGAATATATATACGAGGTGTAACGAAAAAGAAGAGGAAAAAATGCGAGCATGAAAGTCGCGGGCGTGGGAACGCCGGGCCCCAAGCGAGCCACCAATTAACACCAATTAGCGCTCATCTGCTCTAGGTAGTGGCAGCAACGAGAACCGACTTTACATTTAGCACGAGACGGTCCGACTCGCCGCGGATTGGCCACAACGTGGCTCTTTGTGTCGGCCAGAGATCGGACCGAGAAATTTTGCACTTCCGCGAGACCGTCGGCGAAAATGAAATTGGATCGCGAAACAGACACGTCGGAGTATTTCTTGTTGCTCGAAACGTGCGAATTACATATATATATATGTAATGATTTCTACGAACGACGTTACTTCCAAATTCTGTCTTACATAAATTCAAATAAACAACACAGCTTCCTTTAATTGAACACTCCGGCAGCTACACAAAATTACAGCATTTTATTCGATCAAGTGAAAATTGCAAAGTCAAGTGCTACAACATCAGTTACTTTCTCAATATTCTCGCATGTTGCGGTCGTTGAAAATTAATATTGAAATCTGAGCTCCGTTTCCCTCGTGCGGCGCAGCGGACAGAAGCGTTAGGATTAGTGCATTACAATTTCGGAAATGATTCTTAATGCAGAAGGATTTCCATCGAAATTCATTTTGGATAGATTGCACTTTCGCGACAGCCTATCTTCTACGGAGGAACACTTGGCCGTTCAATTTTTTTTCTCTTTTTTTTTATTATAAGCTTTCAAATCTCAGATGAGATTTATCGTGTGAATGTACTTAATCATAAACCTTAAATAGTAATTCATGGGTTACTTATATATTTATATTACATGTTTTTAAGAATAATAGGATACGCCTCGATATTGGGCTCGACAAGCAAAACAGAAAACTGTTCAATTTGATTGACTCCTTTCGTTCTACTGTCAAGCGTTATTTAAGAGACAACGTACATGTTTGTGACGCAAGGTGTAACACTTTTCGTCGAAGCGATTCTAATCTTGTCATGTGGGAAGCACGGTATCAACGTGTTAAAATGAGCAAGATTTTCACAGATCTTTAGCGAAGGTCGCAGACGCTACAAGAGAAACAAGTTGTTGAAGAGAATATGGGAACGAATGCCTTAAATGCACGGTACGAAAGAGAACAAAGGAAGGCACGATCCCTGTTATATGCACGCTTCTGTCTGCTGTCTGTCTGCGAGAGAACCGTTCGAAAAACACGAATCGGTAAGCCGTGCTCGCATTTGCCACGATTCTGCGGAAAGCTGTTGAAACGTGAGAATTTCGCGATATCTATAATTTCGCAACTGTCGCGAATGCGCACGCGGTGCATCCCCGATCCTCGAATAAAAAGATCCGATTCCCACATTCGTTAACTCCTCCTGCAAATCCCTCGAGCGGAGACAGGAAAACGAGATAAAACAAACGTTCGATGAAAACGTGGCCGGTCATAATTACCGATCGGCGCGTAATCGAGCCCACCACCCCCGCAATTTTTCACGGGGCCACTCGATGTCCGTCGGCCGCGTCGTCCCGCCACAAATCAGAATAATTACAGCGGGTCTGGCCGAGTCTCGGTGCACGGTGCATGGCGTGGTTCCCCGGTGGTTCCGTTTCTCCATCGTTCGTCCACGGATCGGCGGAGAAGCGTCTCCGCTCGTCGCAACGTCGGACCTGATTGGTACCACCAATCAAGGCCCGTGAGTGACGGTCGGCTAATGCAATAAATAAATTCCAATCGCGGCTGCCGCGGAAGACAGGGGCTATCTGTTCGTCCGTGCAGCCGCAGCAGCAGCAGCAGCAGCGACCGAGTCCCAAAGGGGTGTCCGGGAGTCCGAGGCCCGACGATAGAAAGCTGGAAGTGTTCCCGATGGAACCGGTCCCGGTCCGAGAAAAAAAGGATCACGCCGCACCGCGGTGCATCGGTGCATCGGTGTCCCGCGCGCTCGACCGTGTGCGCGCCCGGTTTAATGAACTTGAAGATCCTCGCCGGTAGACAATGAGAGGAGGGACTTTCGAAGCCAACAGCCACCTCGATTTTTTAATTAGAACCGCAGGTGTTTCGCGTGGTCGCGATCGCGCCGCTCCGCGCCGCGCCGCGCAGCGGCCCTCCCACCCAGCGAAAGTGAAAAATAGCCGAACCTCCCGGTGAAACTTCGCGTTATAAATGATCCTGGCCAACAGGTTTTCGCTGATTTTTCGAAACACGATATCCTCCTTTTGCGCTTTCAGCGGGCCTTCCATCGCGTCGAGCCTAATAGACTCTCCGCGAGTTAGTCGCCACTTAGACTGCCGACTTTATGCGTCCGTAAGAAAAACGAAGCGGAATGTTTTCAGACTATCGGCTATACATCACGATTTTTCAGGCTTGTGATCGATGCAGAACATTTTTGGTTTGCAGGAAAAATCGCTGGTTCGACGTGATTGCGATTATACGTGTATCATTTTTCAGTGGATACCCTGTCATATTTCATTTTGTAGTCGTATCGAGCTGTTCCGAATGTTGGTGTATTTTTCAAACAAATTTTCGTTTTATAAGGGTGTTAAAAAAGCACACTCGATTCTCAATATTTTGTCAAAAACAAAAGAAAGAATGAAACGGGACTTCGACCGGCAGAAGATTCCAAAGCTATCAGAAAAATGTCAAAAAGCCTAAACATTAAAAAATTCTCTTCCATTTTCTCGCGAAACAACTTTCCGAACAAACCAATATTACCAAGATTTCTTTCACCTTTCTTTCGAATAAACGAGGTTCTATTGAACGTCGATTGATCGCAAATAGAGATTATAAATATTTGACGCGAGTACGCGTATTTTCCTACAATTAAGAGAGGCTAACTAGAACTTTGTGATTAACATTAAACGTAACGTGCAGGTCGAGACAATAAGATTTCACAAAAGACTTTCATATTTCTTATTTGAAAATTATTGAAATTACGAAATCTCTCTCATGGGAAACAGTTAAATAAAATTCTCAACTCAAGCAGAAATAAAATAAATGCAGTCTCGACATTCTTATAATGCGACACACGTCAGACAATCTTAGAAGTTGATAGGAACGAGACAATTTTTGTTCCTTGTCCGTCCCTGTTTACATTAATTTCTAAATTTTTATAACACAAGCATCAAATTTTATTTCTATTTAAAACGAACGAATAACATTCACATTTATCACAGATCATTTTCAACACTATAGCGCAAGAGGTAAAGAAACATTTGTAGCATTGTTACGGTAGGAGAATTTTCTAGTCGGTAAATCGAATGTTTCCTTCGGTCTGGTTTTTGTAAAACAACGTACGAAAGTTGTATCAGCAAAACTAGTGCATGAAACTGGAAACTCCGTAAACGGCGATTAAATTTTGTTACGTCTTTGCTAACCTTTAAGCTGCATTCATATTCGTAAAACTCAAGTTCGTAAAATTAATCAAATGTTTCGATGGGTTTAATTGCTTGGTTCGCGAGGTTTCCCGAATTCGCAGCTTTTATGTTGTCGAATCGAACGGTTCTCCTCGCGATATGTGGGAACGGATTACTCCAGGTTGATCGATTCCTTTTCTGCTTTCGGAGTCATGTTCACTCGGCTAACTGCCTGATCGTGACTGAACTACCGATCTCGAATTAGCGAAAACATTCCCTCCTGCTGGCAACCCAAATGCTTAGATAACGCGGCTAATGTCGCCGCTCGCGGGACCGTTTCTTACCTGCGAATTGCTTCCTTAAGCGGCACGACACTTCCACGATTGGAAGTCGCGTTAGCCTTACGCGTGCACCGGCTTTTTGCCGCTGGTACCGTTTCGGGAGCGAACGATCGTGTGCTAAGTGTTCGATAATTTCCCGCAATTTTCAAACGATCGCGAAAAAACGTCGCGATAGTATAACATTATCTTTGGAAATAGACCGGTCTAACTGGGCCGAAAGTTCAGCCCGAGTTCACGGTAATTTGTAAGTAACACCGTACGAATTTCCACGTGTTCGAAATACTTTGTGGCGAGAAGCTAAGAATAAAATGGAAGTTTTCTTGAATTTCGACGGCGACGTTCTCATGAAAAAATATCGATAACAAGTTTCCTCGTTCTTTTTTTCTCTGTTACGACGACGACAATGCGTGCGAGAATAAATATTCTAAATGCGCCGGAAGATGACAGCATCAACGAATGGTACTTTAAGCAATTTGGCGATTCGTTGAAGAAAGGTTAAAGGGTCAGCCAAATGCGGCAAATCGTAAAGGAAACGGTGCTCGTAATTTATCGCCTATGTTTTAATCATTTATACGGTCGATTAATGTAGCACAGTGTTAGCGGTAGAAGAAAAATGGTAATTTTATTCGAGCGTGTTACGCGCCGGCACGAAGGGTCAGGAAACGCTGTATAAATTTGCGAAAGTTCATCTCGGAAGGTTCCACTTAGGGCCACGGCCGCTGTGGAATTATTCAAGCTGGGCAAGGGTTAATTGCTGGCTTCATCAAAGCATCTCCTTTCCTCTGTCAAAGCAGCCCTAGACGAGGGTGACGTCACCCGTTCCGTATTCGATTCGCCTTTACCGGAACAGAGCAATTCCAGGCTGTAACGTTAACGTCTGCTGCGGCACTCGCGACAACTATGACATTTTCCAAGCTGCTATTAATACCAGTAGCCGTGGCAAAGATCATCCTTAATTTATCACTTTCGTTCTTTGCATCCGTTCGTTTAAACGCGCCTTGTCGCCGCACAAACGACCCAAACGGCGAGCTTAGTAGTTGCAGCTGTTAGCATAAAAATCCATCGTAGTCTGTTATCATCGTCGAATGAACTTTTGCTTCTCATATAAATTTGTTTTCTCGTTCAATTAAAATTGAATCGTTCTCCGTGTGTAAGGCGGCTCCGGGTTTAATTATTGAAATCGTGGTTTCGCAGAGGCAATTCACGCTGATCTTGCAAGCGAGGGACGAGGCGAGCGCAGGCGTGATCGAGGAAGCAAGTTACAGCGGCATTGTCTTGCCAGGACCCACGTGGCACACCCTCAATCATCAAGGAAGGAACGCTCATTTAGCCTATCGCGTTCGGGTCCAGTGCGCGGATCATTACTACAACGCGACCTGCACGAAGTTCTGCCGACCACGAAACGACATATTCGGTCACTACACCTGCGACGAGAACGGCGACAAGGTCTGCATACAGGGATGGAAGGGCTCCGACTGCGAAACAGGTGGGTCAATCTTATCCATTGTAGTACTTTTTATTTCGTCAGGAAAATAGCAACGTAACTCGACAATTTTTCTCGTGATTTTATACAGTCGCATCGGAAAGCACGTCAACGCATTTTCAATCGGAATAATTTTTTTTTTTTAATTGCTTCAAAGCATTTGAATAGTTTTGAGGTGTTAGACAAGTTTTCTATGGAGCGAGTGTACAACAAGTTTTCTAGTTTACAACCGATAGGAATGATATAAAAGTTAAGAAATGACGTTTCTTCGACTTTTTTATCCGAGCACATGACAAAAATTAAAAAAATGTATTTTCTAGATCTCGGCAGCTTGTATGCATGCTGAAAATTTCATCGAAATCGGTTGACCTTGACATGAGCTGTAAGCGATTAAAGATCGCTGAAAAATCATAGTTTTTCACGAATTTCAAGCAAAAACAAGTAATTTTTAGATCTTTCAGCGGCTGTACCTTGACTATGCGTCGACCGATTTCGACGAAATGTTCAGCATGCATAAAAGTTAACGAGATCTACAAAATTTTCGTTATGGGCTCACATAAAAGAATTCAAAAAAGTTATATACTCATTTCATAGGAAACTGGTCAGTCTAACACCTCAAAAATATTAACCAATTTTAAGAAAGTTATTCCGATCGAAAAGGCGTTAACGTACTTTCTGAGGCGACTGTATGTACCTCGAATAGGCAACGTTCGACATTCTTCTATTTACAAGAATTTATAATTAAAGAAAAGTTTCCTTCGTCAACTGAAAGCTTATTAATTTTAAAAATAAAATAAAAATATCGTTAGACCTTGTTAATAGATACTTCTCTTGCATTTTCAAAAGCTGCACACATCAAAACGCACACATTTTTCCTATTTAATATGCTCATCATTATATGTATGTATATTTCTCTAAAAATTAACGTTCAAGCTTTTCTATAATTATCTTCAAGAACCTCCGCACGAAACAAGCGTGCTTTGATATGCAAAGTTTCAACAAAATCCGCGTGTCAGGCTTGTGTAATGTTTGTACAGTCCATTAATCTGAATCCATATTGATCAGCGAATCGATCTCACCTGATACATTTGCATACACTTCTCTGCGATTCAGATGAATAATGTACAAGATGTTCCAGAAGTTCATAACGTTATGCGACTTTTATAAATATCTCTTCATGTTTTTAAGTCTAGAGAATTTGAACGTGTCATAATTGGCTCTATAATTGTATAATTAAAATATAAAAATTAATGTGGTCATCGTAATTTCAACATCTTTAACATTGTTCACGGATTTTTGAGCATCGATGGCCTTTACTTGACGCGTTGAACTTAAATATATCTAAAGTTGGCAAAAACCAGCAAAATTCTCCGATTTGATATCATAGTCGACTTCTTACATTAAGTCGTGAGTCTTGTTAAAGCGGGCCCTTTGATCACTATCGCAACTTTTCCTCCAACGTTTCATTATAAAATAACAAAGATTTAGGACGTATTGTGGAGAAAAGCACAAGACTTAATTTACAAATATATTTTGTATCGCTTGTGTACAAAGCTCATCTTTATAACACATATTTAATGGTTAAATGTTCTACAGATGATTTCTTTAAAGATAGATTTCGGCTTGGCACATTAAAGATGATATATATATATATCATATATATATATATATATATATATATATATATATATATATATATATATATATATAT